GAATTTTGAGCCTCGGGACGTTTGAAGTTTCTGGAAATTCGAAAGGTTTCTAGTTTATTCTGTGGGCGTTTTACGGTTTATTACTGTTGAGGATTCACGGTGCATTTCGTGACCTCTTAGGGAAATTATCCTAAGTGATACTGGTTGTAAAAATTATTGTACTATTGGGATAATTTCTCGAAAATTCCCTCGAGAGTAATAACTGTACTTTTCGCTTCTGATTTTTACGCTGATTACAATACGGAGATATTATTTAATTCGAATTTCAATCGGAAAATATGAAATTATGTCTTCCAGTTCTCCGTTCTTCGTTTCTTATTTCCTCTATGCCCTGCGGAAGGATTAACTTCTCTTTTCTCTACCGTTTCTTTTCGATCCCATTCATATCATCCGTGGCTGAAGGAGCGCAACAGTTTACGACATGCTCGCCTACGGAGACTCGTTTCTCGTTCGTCCTCCTATTTATGTTGCTCGTTCTCGAGACCCCGGTGTTCGTTCCGTCGCAGCTCCTGATGGCTTTCGCCTCTAGGCCAGGCTCGATCTGACCGCTTCTCCTTCCGTTACCGAAGAAGGATTTAAGGAAAGTGCTCTCTCTCTCCATACGTTTCAATTACCACAAAATCCCCTCATCGTAGAGTGTTAATAAAAATATGGGACACTTTCCGCAAGGTGAATCGTACACGACACATAGGACGAACATCAAGAATGATTAAATTGCGCTCGTGTCTACGTTTCCATAGTTATTTGTCGTTGAAAATACGCTCGAAATACGTCTCACACGACGGATTATATTGTAATCGAGATACGTGTTCTTTAACTGTTTCTCTAATTGCCTTTATTCGTTTTATTTTATTTCATTAATTAACTTTGTGTCATCGATCGATCTCGTGCATCATTTGGGAATCGAATGTTCAAGTATTTCGAGCGTATTTTCAATAATAAATAATTGGGAAACGAAGCCTCGAACCCAATTCCCTCATTCTTGATTTTTGTCCTAGTTTGTCACGTAGAATCCACCCTGTAGAAGACTGTCCCCCATTTTTATCAACACCCTATACACAGCCTGTCCGTGTGGCGTTTTATTGAATTCTGGTCTCGTCGCCACCTTACGTTCCGTACAATTAATCCCTCTCTTTGGAATCGAACTGGAGGACTCCCGATCTTTTCTCGATCCAGGACTTCTTTCTCATTCGGACGATCACGTAATTAAAAAAACGGGGGCCCGGGGGGTTGTTTACGGTCCCGAGGCGCGGTTCTAATCTCCTTTTCTGTTTCGCTTAACCAAACATTACGGGAGGGAACGGGGCAAAGAAGTACACCACGGCGATAAAGTTCGCGGGCTTTCGCAATTACCGAGTGGAATCGGGTCGAGGTTGCGTTTTACGAGCACCGTCTGCGCGTTGTTTTGCTTAGCTTCGGTTCGCGGACTAGAGAATTCGCTGGTCGCGATCGACTTTCAGAGCATTGTTCGATTGACGTTGAATGCGTGGTTCGACCGATCTCGTTGCTCGTAAGATTGCAAGTTCGAGCTGAAAGCTCCCACGGGCGGTCTCGAATCGTCGCTGAGAACTTTGTTATCCCCTCTGGTTCGACACGCCCCGAGTACCAAGGGGCGAACTCTCGAACTCTCGATTTTCAGTCCGAGTCCACCGTCTTTCGGTTTGTTTACGCTGGTCGGCCACGCGAGAAACTATTCTCCCCGATCGCTATAGAATGACTCAGTGGCGTCGATAAACTTTAGACAGAAGTTCTGCACAACCACGTCGAATGTATTCGCTTTTCGTCTGGTAGAGAAGGGTTCGAAGAAAGTTCTTGGCTGATTATTAGGAATTGTTGGATAAGAAATGGAAGAATATCCCTTTGGAGAATGTAGAACGAGTATTGTATACCGAAAGAAATATCAGTTTAGCTCGAACACAATGATAAAGTTTTTTCCAACCGATTCGCTCTGGCAATTCGTCAATGCGGACGAAACGGGCTAACACATCGAATCGAACCGTAAACTTGAAATCGGGAGGACTTGGTGAAGTCATTTCTGAAAAAAAAAATTCATCAAATGTCCGAGAATTTCTTATGATCAGTGCACTGTGCGTCGGTCCAGCGCGCAAGGGGTTGAACAAGTCGCCTCGATTCACTGGCGGTTAATTGAAAAATGCACCGTTGCTGCGAGGATAACGACGAGAGTGAATTTCTCCCCTTCTTTGACGCTCGGTAGACGACGCAAAGAGAAAGGTTTCTCTCTCCAATACGGGGCCGTTCGTCCGCGAGGTAACACAGAGGCGCGGCGGTTTGTTCCCTGTAACGCTTCGTTGCTCGTTGTTCGGTGACGTCGCGCGTATCAGTTACAAGGGGGCTTAACGACCTACATATACAACATAACGCCGGGGGTCCCGTGCCACCCTCCCACCCCTGTAAGCTTAACGGTTCATTTCCGAGCGGATCAACGATCTATCGGAGCTCCTCCCTTCAACGCCGTGTGTCGTTAAATACCTTTCACGGTTATTTGACCCATACGCAATGGAAATTATCCGAGGGAAATTGGACACGGCCGACAATCATCGTTTCGTGTTCGTGATCCACCTTTCATTTTCCCAAAATCGGTGTTATCCGTTTTCTTTTCGTTTCGACGATTCTCGTCGGTTCTCGGAATTACCGTCGGTGTTCCCTCTGGGGGATGGTGGGGGCTCGACGACGTAGCCTCGTTCTCACAACGATCGTAGGTGTGACCCTAGCACACACCAGCCGGATAAAAAACTCGCGACAATTTTCTCCCGGTATCTCCGTCGGGATCTATTCGTAGAGGCTCCTCCACCATCGTGTATTTCTGCCACCGTGGCAACCATCACGCGCAGTGGATGGTGCTGTATTTTTAGCAGTCACGAGCCTTAGAAGCGAGCCGTTTCCCTCCCCCTACTCCTCTTCCGTTGTTCGACGGCGCGAAACAATGCTCCTGCATATACCTGCACGTTATTGTATACCAACGCTAACATCTATTTAGATCTTATTCTTATAGTGTTAGTGTTGGACATCTGGGTACTTTGTGATGACTATTCCTAACCTAGGAAATCAATCCTCCACAATATACACGCATAATGCTTCACTGTACGACCTCGTCGTTTCTTTATACAGGATGGACCAATTGTTATGACGCTTGTATAATCAAATTATAGGTTTATCTATGAAAAATTGAAGGTGACCTCGTAAATTCTGGAAAAAAAGGGTTGACAAATTTGTTAGAATTACTTTAAATCTCTCATTGAATCATGTTTTATACCAGCCAAACAAATTTTCGATCGAAAAATCTGATCACGTTTTGTCGTCCACCCTGCATATCGGGTAAGTACGAGATCCCTCCTTTTGGTTCGATAATAAGACGGTCTCTCGCATCCTCCGGTTCGAAAACATCGGTATTCTCCATCGATCTCGCGTTTCGCGACCCTGTTCGTCGATAAATAATCGACCAACGTGACCGGCATGATAACAGGCCGCGGGGCAACTTATCCAGCATCGGTGGAATAACACCTCGCCCTTTGGCCGAAGCGTCGTGCTCTCAAAAGCTGCTTCTGCAGTTCAACGAATAATCCTGCAAAGCTGTGCCAGCAACTACCCACGGTTTTTTACGTTCTTAAACCACGCCACGGCACCGAGACTCGGCAGATGGATTTATGGATTAGTTGAAGTTAATCGCGGTTCAGGAGAGTCCATTTGTTGGATCGAAACCGTCGCTCGAACAGCCACAGTGTTTATTAAAACACGGGGGAAAACAGACGCTGTAAATCCGTCGTTTACACCGCGACAAGGTCCACGCTTTAACCCCGGATTTTATTAGCAATTTCACGCTGGAAACGCAATTTAAGACGCCATTAGCGGACTACGTGAGCGCGAGCCGGGTGTTACGGGGGTGGAATTAGCGAAGAAGGAATGGTTTCGAGGGTCTTTTTTTTTTTTCGGGTGGATGGAACTCACCGTAGCACTGTTTTATCAAATACGAGCGATATACACTCGTCCTCGAGTTACGGTGTAGTACAGCTCGGTAATGTAATTTTGCAATAGTCACCCGTGTACGTATGTACGTAACTTTCTAATTATCCAACGCGCGAAATTGATTGCTAAGCCGTGCCGGCCTGTTCCATTAATTGATTACGAACTCACGCGTCCACGCTGTGTTACCCCGAATATAATTAATCGACCTGAGAGGGAGATGACTTCCATCCGGGTGCTTTCACGGGGGGAATCTGACCTCTGCACTGTAATCTCGAACACTTTCTTTGTACGTCCGTTTAACCCTTTCAGTACCTTGGAGCCGATAAATCGGCTTTGTGAATTTACCGCAAAATACCTTGAGCGTTTCATTTTTAATATAACTTAAATATATGTAATGACACTTACTTTAAGGTATTCTTGGATGGTACTCGGAAAACTTATAAGGTACTAAAGGGGTTAATTATCCGCGAGAACAGCGCGAGAATCCAATCGCCCATGTTTTTATCGATCGTGAAATACATCTGTTTGCCTCGATCTCCGCGGTGGTCGCCACGTTTGTTTGTCACAGCATTCCCGGATGTCACCGCGGAAATTAACACTGACGTCCGTGCATCGAAAGCTCTTTTCAATTTTCCAGAATTTAACGACGCGTTGCGAAAACAATTCCCGCTGTTATCGGGGGTGGGTGAACGCAACGAGCCGCGGGCCGATCGATGTCTTTATTAAATTTTCATTGATCGTAAGCTCTCGCCGCGCGCCACCGAACAGGAATTTACGGATCTCACTCACGTGTGCCTCGATTTAATCCGTAAAATCGTTCGAATTTTTCGATCTCCGTGGATGGGCGGTGATCCAGATCGAGGGGTCTCGACGATCGTTTCACCCTTCGACGCGGAGCGTCTGAACGAAATGTCCGATCGAGCGCGTTTTTCCAGACGTGACGGGCGCGTCGTCGAGTCAACGGAAATTGATTCGTGAAAATTCACGATGTTACGACACGGTGGTAGGATACAGACCTGCAACGGCGTCGGCGTTTCCTGATGATCGGCCCCGGCGAACGGTGGATACAATTGCGCGAGGCACATCACCGCCTCGTTGCAGAACTTCAATCCCATTACCTCTTCGTCCTCTCGGCCGTAGCGAAAAGTCAACGTAATTTGCCCGAACACCTGAAACACACGAATCGGCTAATTAGTGTACAGAGAAACGAGTAATCGCGGCCGCGATCGTTAACGTGGACCATCCCGACCGCGGACCGGCCATTAAATCTTTCCAGCAATTATCCACGGATTCGGTAATGACATGCATCCGATTCGTCGCGATAATTTTTCTACTCAAATGGGTTTCGCGTGGCTCGTTGTGTCTGGCGAGAATCGACTCGTTATAACGATCCCGACGCATCGTTCGCGATATCGTTAGGAAGAGAAACGAAAGGAAATATAAGTTTCTTGACTGACGGTTTTAAGTTTGTGCAATGTGTAACGACGAAATAAACAGGCGCGTTGTTACGTGAACGGTAACAGTGAATATTATTTTCATGGGAAAACCTGAATCTCACAACAAATTTCTTGTGTGAAACACTGTACTCTGTACTCTGTTCGCTCTCTAATCCCTTTCTGCCCCACCAGGCTGTCACTTCCTCACGCTTTTCGCAGCATATCCCCTCATTCCAGACAGCAACACACACCCACGCGCATCCCTTTTTTATTCATCCCATTTCCACTCCTTTGGATTCCTTTCTATCTCATTCACATTCCCTTCCATTCCTTTGGATATCTTTCCATTCCTCTTCCTTACTTTGCATTCCTTTCCATTCAATTCGGTTAGTTCGAACGGATCGCGGTGTCCCAACCCGCGACATCTCAACCCTTCTCGCGTGTCCATAAATTCGGCGTGTCCGCAAACTTCGAGATGTAAGTTTAATTAGGTTTGCCGGGGTGGAACACGTCGCGGACGATTCCGTGAGCAAATTAACCTCTCCACGGTGTCTTTGTACGGGTGAACTTGGACGAATGGGCTCGTTAGTAAGCCGATTCGTTGAATGGAACGCCGCTTTAAACGAGTTACAGCGCCGCGACCCCGTTGGACCTTGCGTCGGTTCTTGCGTTCACCACGATCGCCGAGGATCATTAGATCCGGAAGTTTCTCGCGAGAAAGGTGTAAGTTTGCAACGCGTCATTGGTGAACGAGGATTCTAGTACACCCACCTCGAAAGTATTACGAAGTTAAAATGATTTTTATAGGGATAAAAAAAAGAAATCGATCGAGCCTCGACTCACCTTCTTGTCTTGCAAGTAGTCACGATCAACCAATAGCACGCCCTGCAGTCTGTCGATCCTCGACTCGCTGACGATCAGGTCTCTGCTCACCAAGTACAGCGTGAGCTTGTTGTTCGGCGATGATTTCTTGTACACCCTGGACAAACAGAGACAAAGAACAACGGTGAACGAAATCTGGGAGACGGACAATGAGGAGTACACGACTACGTTCGAATTTCCCTTGATTTTCCGCGTAATAGAATCCCGTAAAACAGCCAATTAACCGTCTCACGTTTCTGTCTACATTCAGCCTCGTGTATACCCGCCTGCGCACCGGTTACTTTCTGGCCTTCTTTGTCTCTTTGGTAATTCGTTTCAATTTCAACCACGTCGGAGAACGGAATCGCAGGCCTGATTTTCGTGTCATTATCATCAACGTTGTCACGATCGATTGTTCGTTTTTTTGTTTATTTTTGTTTTGTTCTTTTCAGGATCACGGCCTATTCTTGTATCGTAATTCCCGTCCCGCCTGTCGTTCAGTTACGCGAGTTAATAATTCCTATTGGAATATATCGCGTTCGAGGGGACAACCGACACGTTTAAATACGGTATCTCGTTCGTATTATTAATGCCAATCGATCGTGCCACGGCATCGATAAATTCGCGTGCTACGGAGATAATTGCGCGGATACGGGACACACACACACACAGAGGGATGCGTAAATATTTTTACAGGCCGTACGAGTACCAACGATTTAAAATGCGTATATACACTCGCTTGCAATAATATTTACGCGAACAGCCTCCGCGATATCGTTAAATCGAACAGAATATCGCGGCTTCTCCCGTCGTTCCACTGTTTTGCATAGTTTCGCGCGGAGGTCTTAGCCGTGTGCGGTTACAATCTCTGGTAAACATTCACCAGGGTTACGTACATAGTAATTAATGCATGAAATATCAGTAACTCGATAATGATCTCTCTCTCTCTCTCTCTATCCATGCATACCTCGACCGAGGTAGGAATATTGTATAATAATCACATGTACACACGCCCCGAAAGAGAGCATTTAAAATCAACTAACGGATCATCGCTCGGCCTGGAACGAAATTTTCACCGTCTCTCGATTGGTCGAAAATTAGTCCGGACAGTTAAAAATAACTCTGACGATAATTCAGAATATCTCTACCGTGATATCAATCTCGGCGATCCCGACCGATAGCCGCGTATTTATCCAACCCGTTTAATCCCAAAATCGCAGCCATTACCCGATTTCGAATGCACTCCGGTGTAGAACTAATCCGCTTGTCCGAGTCCTCTAGGCTCCACCCCTGGGCTGAATTATTATCAGCGAAAATATACGGCTGATGCATACTCTCCGGTGCATATGGCCGCGATAAAAGTTGTTTACGATCGTGAACTTTGACGCCCAAGTCTGTCGAAACCATCCCACCCCTTCCCCGCGACTCGAAGTTCATCCAAAAGGAGTTAATGGCAAGACACCGCGGCGCACCCTCTTGGGGGGTTGCTCTCCGGGTACATTTGAAAGTTTCGAACTAGGTTTAATTAAACGGAGTAGCTAGTTTCTAAGCTTGGCTTTCGTCCAGCCATCTCCCGTTTCTATGAGTTTTTCATTAAACGCAGCGACACGGTTGTTGCGTTGATTAATTAGCGACGCATCGCTGCTCTCGAATTGTCCCTTTGACGAATATTCGACGTTTCGATGACGATTCACACATGTTCGCGTTTCAGCTAAATGAATGTTTTCGATCGCGTCGCTACTCTGTTGTCACACGAATAGACTGCGGATTTCCATGAAAAATGTCATTTTCATGAAGTAATTCATAAGGACAAAAATAAATGTAGGAATACTTTTCTTCCTTTAAATATCTTGTTGGGTTAATAATAAAATAGAAAACTCGTTGATGAAAATTTCGTGTGCTATTGTCTTTCAGCACTGCAGTAAATCCTAACGTTGACTTTTTAACGAAGTTTAGCACAGTTTGGAATTCTGAAGCTAATGATATTTGTTTCAGAAATATTTCATGTTCAGTGCCGCGGAACCTTCGAACACTTATCGAGGATTTACTGTATAGGCTATGATTGTATGAGAACTGCAGTCTACTCATGAAACTACTGGACTTACTATGTCCAGCTTGAATATTACCTTTGATTGTTGAACGAGTCCAATACGTTGTCGCAGGCAGTCTCGACTTTTCTGAAACACAGGGCAATTCATGGAGGTGTTAGAGATTTCGTGTTTCACGGAAATCTTGTTAACAAACGTCACGTCTAGAAGGATTCAGATTTTTGCTCGAGTTGTTCGCCGGCGTGATGGTTCTCTTTGCACAGTTTTTCCATCCACTGGGAAGATCCAACGTTCTTTTCTCGTCTCGCGTAAACACGGTTTAGTCGAAAGGGATCAAAGCCGTGCGAGTACTCGCCGCTTCGCCCTCAGCGTTCAATTTGTAATTGACCGCCGGCATTTTCACCCGAAATAATTTATGCATGAACCTCATCCTCGCGGCCTGATTCGTTCCACGTGCACGGAAGTTAAATCGTGAAAATCCTTCACAAATGGGGGATAAAAACAGGGAGGAAACGGATAGGAGCCCTGCGTTTCTACAGGGTGAAAAAAAAAAGAGGGTCTTGAGAACACTGTTAGTGAATAATGACGTCATCGAAGTCGACCCCTTCAATTATAATACGAATTATTATCCACTTTCATTTCAATGAAAATTTATAAGCTTCTAAATTTTCTATTGCTCGAGCTAAACAAAGCGTGTAACATCTGTTAAATTTTTATTCTGAACCACTATGCGGTCGCATCGATCGCCATGAGACCTCGCGACAGACAAACTTTAATTTTCTTCTCCCTTTCGCCGGGGGCCGTTTCGACAAGTTCACGTACTTTTTTAATAAAATCTCCTGAACTGGTGCTATCAGAAGACAGAGAGAAAAAAAATACATTTGCGCGGAGCAAGAGTCGCGACGAAAAATAACCAGCGGGGAAACGTGCATTTATCTTCACGGACTATACACAAGCTGATTTAATAGCTCTGCGAGTCCTGCGAGCACGTGACCGTCATACTTAACGCGTCCAAGTAGAGAAAGTCGACATTAGTCAGACCACGTGATAAACATAAAGATCACACACACACACACACACACACACACACAAACACACAAAAAGAAAGACGTTAAGAAAAATAATTTCCTTGGAGATTTTTTACTTCGATTCTGGATTACTCGATTATTAGAATCACTATATCGGAACAATCCTTTTTATTTATCTCGTCGATGGGCGTATCGACAGAGCCAAGACACGAGAAACAGAATCCAACGAACTATCCCGAACTTTTAACAATACTACTTTTCCCCGAGACTGGATCTCCTTACTTTTACTTCACTTTTCAACAGTTTCTCGCGGTCGAACCTCGCCTCTTCCCCGGACGGGTGGTCGTGATTTATCGAACAAGTCCAGACATTACGGGCGTAATGGATCGAAAGGGGAATGCATCTTCGAGCTGTTGGGCTCCGTTGTCGTCCGTAAAATTACGGCAAAGTCCCTGACATTCCGACGCGTTCCGCGCCATTTACGACCGTTCCTCCCACCGCTTCTCCTGCCAATTAGTCGCGGGAAGGTTCAGAAAGTGCCCCGGTAATTATTTTTTTTTTTTTTTACGATTTTTGTAACATCGTTCTTGAGACTTTTATCCGTTCGGTCGTTCCACAAGTCGTTCGCAGCTGGATCACCCGTGTGTCACGGAATCGGCTCTTTCGCTCATCGTTCCTCGCGTTTATCGCGAATTATTCGAGTCGTGCCACGGGAAACGACTGGGTAAATATCACGGCGAGGCTAGCCATCTGGCGGACTTTATGGCGGAAGTAAACAAGGGAAAGGGTGGAGGTGGGGGATGCTCCGGTAATTTTCTCGAAAAGAAACTAGCCGGGAGAAGGCGGGAAAAACAAAAAAAAACGAAGCAAAAATTGCGGTTCTCTGATCGCAATAACCGACCGCGAAGCGGATAAAGTTTCCACGCTTTTGTGATGGATCCCCTTCGTTTCCTTCGATATTAACATCCACGGTTTCATAAAGGGAACGCGTATGTTGGGTCAAGGGTGAACTTGATTGCCTCGTATGTGTTGCGTGCAATTTGCAAATTGTTCTTCCTCTTTGCCGTTTCAGCGCGAATTCGGACGTTGTACAGGTGGTTGTAACAGTTTTGTGTCGTTACAACGATACAGGTCCACGGGAAACGCGACCAATTCTGCGGTGCTGCACGCGTGACGAGAAACGCGGAATTTCCGTCACGATCGTGACTCGCGCGAACGTGTGCTATGAATTTCCACGATTTTATTTCGACCCTGTTCGCTGAATTCCAACCGTGAAAATGCCGGTGACGTTTCAATTGACACCAATGTCGCTTCTTTTTTGTCTGTGTTTGTACAGGGTGTCTCGAGTTGGGTAGAGTATTTATTTAGTTGTTATACGAGTACACACCCAGTATGCATATATATCAATTAAATCGAAATAAAAGTAGAAACAGTTATAGCAACATTAACATTCAATATTAATCATAATAGAGAATTTTTACAGTATCGTACAGTCAAGCAGGGGGTGATTCTATAAGAAAAAATAAGTTGAAGAAAAGAATACATTTGTTTCGTTTTAATGTGGAAAGCATGTGTTTGTTCTGGTGATAAGTAGAAACGGTATGTAGTGGTCAGACGCGTTAGCCAAGTCTTATTCTACTGCGCGTGTGTCCAATAAATCTTGAAGTTCGATTATCGATTACTATTCTCTTATTTTTCGACTTATTTTTTCTTATAGAATCACCTCCTGCCCGATTATGCAACCCAATCTGAGACATCCCATGCAAATAAAGTATTTGTTTGTCGCGAAAGTTGCGATTCCGTGCGACAAGACATTGTTCGTCTACTCAGTGGCAGTCTGATTCTTTATTGATGCATCACGAAGACAAGGCAACCTTCTCACGGATCCGCCAACGTCTCCGTTATGGTTCTACTATCGAGGGTACTATCATTCTCCTCGTCGGAACTAGAATTTTCTCCGTAACCTTGTCGATTGGAAATACGTTACATCAAGGAAAATATCCATCCCTCTTACGATAACCAGGCCATCAAACGGAGCACACTATGGAAAACTCTATTTCCCACGGCTTTCACCACGCTGCGCTCTCGTCGGATCGATATATATACAGGGTGTCTCAAAATAGCTTCTACTCCCAGAAATGGGGGGTTCCTGGGATGATTTGAAATAATTTTTTCCTTAACAAATATATTATCCGAGGCTTTGTTAACGAGATATTAACGAAAAACCCCAAAAAATCAAAGCGCGAGTCTGTCGGTCGATTTCCCGCGATATCCGTTGGCTATCAATCGCAGCACGTATTCGAACTCGTTCGATAGACTCGCGCTCTGATTGGTCGGGTTTTTTTTTCGTTCATATCTCGTCAACAAAGCCTCGAATAACATTTTTGCTAAGGAAAAAGTTATTTCAAATCATCGCAGGAACTCCTTATTTCCGGGAGTCTATTTCGAGACACCCTGTATGCAACGAAATAGCATCGTTCGCGGCCACCTTAGCCAGCTGCTTCGAAAGTTACCCTGTTTAACGAACCGGTGGTCGTTACGGCATACGCGCGCAGAACCGATCCACGGTTTAGTGCGACCCGAAGCGTGTGAGTCCACGACAAACTTCTCCCTGTTGCCCGGTTCGAACTCGTAAAACTGTTCGTCGAAAGTGGTCGTAAGCAGTTCGATAAGATCTCGCGAGTGTTGTCCGTACGAAGAACCGCTCCTCGCGTCGCTTACACCCCTGGAATAAAAACCAGCGCGCCCTGAGGCAGAGAACGTCCGGGAATGGGATAATGGAGCTTTCAGACTCGCGATATGTACGTCGAGATAAAAAATGTTGTCGGTGGCACCGTGAGTTTCGAGGTGGTGAGCGTATCTTCCACGAGGACCACGCGTGGTGTCTACGTCGGATGTCATAAATATCCTCTCCTCGACTCGACGGTGCCGGGGCGAGCATGTAAACGCGGACAGACAGCAGCGTACGCGCTGAGAAGACAGGCTACGCGATAAGACACATCCGGGCTCTTGGGAAGATTTTCCGCCGGAGTTTTCCACAGTTTGCGCTACTGTCTCTTGGAAATTCGCGTACAATGTCCTCCGAGATACGGGATTTCTGATCTTGACAACGTAACAGCGTCCCGTTCTCGCGAATCGATACAGGATGTACCGTTTTTAACACGTTGACTGCAAGCTACGAGATAACTCGTAGTTGAAACATTGCAAACATGCTGGATTATTTAAATATCTCTACAAAATTTTGACAATAAGATTAATATCACAGTATAATTTAAAACAAGACAAGTAATCTTTATTAATGAAACGCATATATTTTCAAAGATTTATGACTTAAAAAACGAAATAAAGTGTGTCTGGCTACGTATTGCCTTTTCCACTGTGCCAGTCAACGTGTTAAACTTCATATTCGAATTTATGAAATGTTCGATCTTTTTTCGGTAACGTCGATCGACCATTTTGTACCATTGACCACTTTGTATCATCGACTATTTTTATCATCGACCATTTTTAGTCGTTTATCCGGAAAGCTGGTTGGTTATTGTTATTCCTCCCTCGTGAAGTCCTCCCGTGTTCCGTGTGATACGAGATATATCACGGTCGCATCGATCAGTTACAGGGTGTCGTTCGATCAAGATTCTGGGTGGAGGAAGGGAAGGGTTCAAGGTCGGTAGGAATCAATTCGTCTGCCCCGGAGTTTTTATATTTTAACGATAACTATTTGACCTCTTTCCCAGAGTCTCTACCTCGCGATGAACTTTCGTGAAATCCTCTCTGCGGCGCGTGCCAGGGTGACTTGGAATAGCTTGGAATTTTAGAGAATTCGTACCGAATGCTACGAGCCAATTATTTTCTCTACCTTGTTGTGTTTCCACGGTTCTATTCCCCCGAAACTTGAATCGTTTCGCCTCGAGGATCAGGTGTACACGCTGTCTCAGTAACGATTGTTTGGAACTTGGGTCTTCAAAGGGTCGAGGAGCGTTCGTCTCGTTGCCATTTTAGACGAATCGTCTTTAAAATTAGTTCGTATTTTTTTTTTTTGGATTCCATTGATTTACGGTTTGTTCTCAATATCCATAACGCAATTAACGCAAAGCTTGAATTAATCAGGAGATCTAACCGCTGTGGACATAGTAGCCTCGAAGTATAAATTTAATAATTGTCATCGAAACGTATTTAAGAATTTATCGTCTTTTTGTTTTCCCGTGAATCAACTCTCAATCAACCTTTATTGTTTGTAGAACGACGAGCATAGTTGCGATCTCGCCCCGGTGAAATTGCACAGAATTGGTTTCCTCTCGTCCCGCCGGCAAATGAAAAATAATACCGACCCACGTTCTCGTAACAGGGATGCAAATTAATTCAACTAACGACGAGTCCGGAACAACAACGAACCCTCCGTATACACGCAACGTTTAAACTCTTTTCGTGAAAATATACTTTTTAATCGATACGGTAATCCCCTCCCTCTCGACTCTATTATCTGTTCCGATGGAAAAAACAATCCCGCGACTGCTGCGTTTAATTTGCAATTTATCGGCTCACTGTGCTACCAATTTCCATTTCGAAAAATCGTAATCACAGAATCGTTGGAACTATTTTTACACCCGCTCCGCGATATTCTTCCCCGAATTTCTTCCACGATTTTCTTCCCCCCTTTCTATAGCTCCGATTGACACGCTTGTTCGATGTTACAGTATTCACGAAAGAATCACGATCGAAGGATCGCCACCCCTGATGGGGATAATTGTCCGTCTGCACGTGAACACAACTCGACGGTCCCCGGGAGTACCGACAATTTCCGTTTGTCGCGAAGTCGTTCCGGCGGGGTGGAGCAACGGTGACATCGAAGAACCTTCTCCATCATCCATATTTATCAACTCAACCCCGTCTGCCCTTCACCGATAGGGTTCGCCTAGAAGGCACACACCACCATTGTCGACCTTTCTCGCTTTCGATCGACAGCCAACTACGGGTTCAATTTCCTGCGAGCAGTTCGTCGAGTTTCAATTTACCCCCGTCGCGTCGTCTGGCTAGAGCCAGCGCCGTCGTTCTGGCTGTGAATTAATTAGCCCGTGCGTCGTGATTAATCAGCCGCGTGTGCCCTTCGTGGTACCGAGGAACATCTGTCGCGAACATGGAACCAGAACGGAAAACCGATCGTTCTGTTTCGAAGAAAAACTGGTCCCCCGTCTGTGGTGGATCCAGCCAATAGAGAATTTATCGTCGTCGTTTCGATGGAAATTCGACGCGATTCGGACGTCGAGCGACAGAAAAAGAAGACGTATACGTTTCGAAGGAAGATTCATTACCCTGTGGCCTTGCGACCGATTATGATGAATCTTTTTCGACCGATTCGGATCCAGGTTACGTCCATTCGCTGGACGACAGGAATTCATTTGGGTATTTCTCGCGAATTTCGTGGCTGGTTTTAAATAACGGCGCGTTACGTAGGCACGGCTGGTCGAATTTCAAACGATGCGTGTTCCGTGTATCGTGATACATTCCCGATGAAAAAGGTGTCGCGTTATTCGCGCGCCCTTCCACTTGATTGCAGTTCGTTTTCCTCGTTAACTTCATGTATATTCAAATCGGTGTGGAAGCTCTGGGGGTGATTTTTTTTCCTATCGTGGGATCAGGTTGCTCTGAGGATCACGGAATTCGTACGGTGTAAATTCATTAACCCGATTCAATTCAAGCTCCAAGTGGTTCGAAGTATCGATAGGTTTCCCGATTTCTATGAATCATAAATATTTCGGCCAGTGTCCTTCTAGGACTGTTCATTCCGTCGTCTTCCAGAGATTATCGAAAACACGATTCGAGCTGGGTCGATCATTTATCCGCAACGTTATCGTTTCATCGCCTCGAGTTTACACATTATACCTGGCTCGGTTACGGTCCATTACAATGGCTCAGCGTACGACGAAGAAACTCCTCTCTAGTTACGCGTCTCTCGTTTCCTGGCTTCGTGTGATTAACCTCTTCAGCCCGAAGACCATAATAGTATACTATCCTAGAGTCGAGTGATTTGTCGGGAAAGTCGTGCGTATAATGTGTACATGAAATTCAGGTTCATAATAGCCGGCTGACTTGGCGTTTCCCCATTCCTCATTCCAATTGTATTTATATAATCGAACGTGTATGAATAATTGTTGCGTAACTAGCCAAGTTTACACACACGCCCGTCCCACGATAGATGAATACGTGTTCTACACCAAAATAGTTTCTAGGAATATCGATCGAGTACGACTGGGATAGTCTCTTCCAACGAGACGTTGATTTTCCGTTGAAGTAATAATAATAACTGCCCAGGTTGTGTAGCCAGAACTTAGACGATGGTAACCGGAGAAAGGAGAATGATTCGCTGGTTCCACGATCCATTTAACGATCCTTCGTAGCCACCGGTCTATTATCTTTTAACGTCTAGTTACCCACGTGATCCATCCTGCAGACGGACAGATATTCAACGGAAACCTCGCGGTTCGCGTAGGTTGATGCGCACGGACCAACCACCGCAAATCAATTAGTCCAACTAATTAGACATTCGAGCGCGGCGTACCGACCGGAGACGGAAGATTTTACCGTGATCGAATCTCCGCGGCCGATAAGTAAAGCTTGCCAGTAATTTTCCCGGGGCCCCCTTCCAAACACGTCGGGCGAAATTTCATCGATAACCATCCGCATTAACCGAGCTATCCGTCCTTAATTTCTCACGGTATTACCACACCGGATCGCCTCCCCCGCGAACGATCTATCGTGATTAGTATCCTCGAGCAAACATCGGGCTGTGTAACTGGAAATCCGCGGTGTTTGTAGCGCACGCCTCTCGTGTGCTACACCCACGAAACGTAGGGTTGTTCGAGTGTTTAATGAATCGATGCTGAATCAATGCTAAATCAACAAGGCCCGCGTGAGTACCGACTGTAAGCCTGGGAATCATTGAACGGGAACATCTCCGAGCCTGGTGGCTTTGATTCTGGTGATTGTTAAAACCCTTTCGTATCTACAGACGATAATATCTGATGTTCACCTGCTTGATTCTTTGGACGAGATATCTCACGAACTTGTTTATTTCACTATTATTACAAATGGGTTCTCACCCGTATGAATTAAATTAAATTAAATTAAATTAAATTAAATTATTGATCACTTCGTTCGAGATCTCGATACTTTTCTTACAAATATCTACCAGACCAGAAAAAATTACAATCGAAACGTCATAATCGTGAGATATCTGGACCTAAATAATCGAATGAATAAAAATCAATTCTTGAGATATGTCGTCCGAGGATGAAAGGGTTATGATACCTTCAGACGAATTCAACAAGATCCAAGTTGAATCTTTGAAAATCGTTTCACAGCAACTCTCGAAAGTCTTATCGATCATTTTCGTTCCTCCACTTTCGGATGGACGTTTTATGGGTCATTCTTATTGTCGTGGCTGTCGGATGTATCCCATCAGCGGAATAAGGTTCCGGTCTGCGTAATCGGGCCTCGAAATCACGACGAAATTCCACAACCTTCCACGGAACGGGTATTCTCCTACTATCTTATAAAGGGCCGTCGTTCCTCCGCCAATTTCACCCTTCGTCCCCGTTGGCTTACCACGTCGAGATTCGCTGACATCGATATATGCCCACGTTTGCGACTCGATAAACTATTTTCGCGGCGAAATGTTTTCTCCTGCGTATCGACGAGCCGTCCACGAGCTTCCATACTCTGACTTTACCGATGCAATATCCTTTTTGCTTCACGAAAAAAAAAAAACGCAGGCTGGTTATGGAAAGAAGGACTTTGTCTCTGAACTCCCTTCAGAACCAAGGACCACCGACAGGCAAAGCCCTTTGCCAAGGGAATGTCGCGCGAAAGGAGATATGTAAAAGGGCTGTCGCCGTAACGTGGAAATCGTGTGCTAATGGAATTCTGAGGCGTACAGGTTATTGAATTTACGCTTTGTTCGTCGACACCCCCCTTCCAACCGAATTTCCGATGACGATTCGAACTTCGAACCTCGTTTACGAAAGGTGTCGACTTTTATCGAATATTAGACAACGCTTCCTCCCCATCTCCGTCTGAAGACGGTTAATCGCTCCGTTTCTTCCCGTTCACAGGGTGTCCCAACTCTCCCTAGAGGAGCACGTATCCCCCCCTCCCGTGATTTCTGATCCCCAGTTTTCTTCGCCCGACGATGATAGATCGCGCGACCTACCACGGCAGTAAATCTTCGAGGATCCCGCGACGTTCTCGCCACGCAATTTGTCGTTGTCCCGTCTCACAGGGAACATTTCTACTGGGATTGCAGCCACTCGACGAGATTTTTATTGTCCTCGACCGTTGGATATCGTATTTGTGTATCCAGCTGAAAAACTGTCATCGCCCCTTAAAGCGATAACAACGATCAACCTGGAAGATCGTTCAATTTCCCAGAAAATGGATGCCTTCTGAGACTTCTGTCTGTCGGTTCGGCCATTAGTATAGACCATAGGTTCCCAAAATGGGCGCTATCGCCCACCGGTGGGCACTGAAGAGATCTAGTGGCCGTTCTAGTTTTTAAGATTCAAAGATTAAACGCACAACTAGACTTGGAAATTTTTATAACAGAGATAGTTTAACCGAAGGGGGCGCTAAACAAAAAAAAAAAACTTTGTAAAGTTCTTGACGCTACATTGGTCATATTTTTTCAATCGATAGGCCTGGACGCGTTATTCGTACCTTTCCGTCGATTTCTCCAGATCCATAGGGATTATATGTTTCGTAGGGTGTTTCGAATGGGCGCGGTCACGATCGTAAATCGTCGGGAAAACCGTGCACGGGACCCTTTCACCTGGCTGGGTCATCGTCGATAATATTAACCGACAGAGAGTGAGAGAGAGAGAGAGAGAGAAATTGAGTCACGGGAGAGGAATGATCGCGTGCTCACCTGTCGGGTTGCGTGTCCGTTGGCTGCAGTTGCGGCAACGATTGGGTCTGCTGTAATCTCTGGGCTTGGTTCGCCGTCTGGCCAGTCTCGGTCACTGGCTCTTTCTCCCCAGCTTCGTGCCTCGCCTTGTCGTCGGACTTTTTGCCCTCCACCTGCGACCAGAACCACGACGGAATTAATAAAATTAATATCACACCTGTATACTGAGCGAACCACGAATCGTGATCAGTAGAAATTACTCTGTTATTAGCAGACCGATCGAAAATGTTTTTCTCGGGTATAGCATGGTTTCAAGAGAGCTTTAACGTGATTATAGCAAATTTTTTGTCAATTCTTTTTGTTTTTTATGATTTTTCAAGGTACATACAGGGTGTAACACAAATGTCGGAGTACCCGGAAATGGAAGACTCGTCAGGTGATTTGAAACAAGTTTTTCCTTAGCAAAAATGTTATCCGTGGCATCTCCCATTTCCGGGTACTCCGACATTTTTGTTACACCTTGCATACTATACGACTTCTCTGACCGATAATTGAATCTTTTTTGTGGAGGCTTTTACAAAAGACGAATGATATCGGTGAATAAAAGCGAAAGAGCAGGAAGAACGGACAGAAAGAGGAGAAATATTAGTTTCGGTGGTAGCCTCGAGTCATGAAGTTAACTTTAAAGTGACTTTAACTTTGATGGAGTTACAAGTTGAATCTGTTTTCTTTTGTTCGCTCGAACTGGCATAATTGTATTTTCAAGAGTTAATTCTCTCATACCGCGATAGGGTAAAGGGAGACTTGTCGTTCCGTGGTGTCCGACGGGACACCGGTAGCTTCCGGTTCTGCGTGTCTCTCGTCCTCGGTCATCTTCGTCGACGCTTCGTAGGCGGTCGAAAACGCCTAGCAATCGATGGACAACGACGCACGAGAGATTGTCACACGGTTCACGTTTCCCACCACAATGGGGAGGTGTCGATCGGGAGTCTTCGTGTTCGTTTTCAACTGTTTATGTTCACCGACGTTTGTCCCATCGCGATGCTTCGAGGTGTGTTCGTTCGAATCAGCGATCCCTGGCGCGTTGTTTCCGATGGCCTTTCTCCTCGATCCCGTCGACACACGGAGGACACAGCAAGTGAATGTCTTGGGATCAAATAGTTGGGCCAAAACTGTTTCAATTGTTCGATTGAATGTCGAGGAATCTAAGGACGAGGGGAAAGATACAGTAACGCTAACCTCTCGAGAAGCAGACTTCGTCGTAGGAAGAGAAAATTAGTAAAAAATCACTATGTAATACCCCCTATTTTGTTCGATATAATTCCCTAACGTTCTGTTTTTGAGCTACGTGTTATTTTTAATTCGACTCTATCGACCCTGGGGCTCCTTCGAGCCTAGGAGTTTTTATTTGGTAGATCAGGTAAATATTTCGTGCTGAATTCGGCGTTTAAACGGGGTCATTCGTTCCTCCGACGGAAAGAACGCATGGTCAACGGACCATTTAGGTGGGATGCATTGTCTTTGTGGGACGTTCAACGAACTTGTGGACGTTTCAACTTGTTACGACTGCTACACGGAGAAATATGCACGTGTACACACGTTCACCGAACTGCGAGAGTTTCAGCAAACTGGTAGCTTCACGGTCACGTGAATCTGTTTTACGAGGTTCTATTGCGCCCGCCACGATTTTGGACATTGTGAACCAACAATGAGCGTACTTTATGAAACGTTATCATTATTCTGTATGAAAGTGGTAGGTGAACCCTTCAGTAAACAACACAACAAATAAATGATGCAACAAATATTATTCGCACTCCTGCTCAATAATGCATTAAAGGGTCAGCCTCTTGTATAATTCCGTGAATTGGATTGCAGTAAGTCGTATCGTCTACGGTTTTAAATAACGAAGAAGATCCTAGAGACCATTCCCTCATCCATTCTGTATCGTGCGAAGACTGACGAAGAAATGGAAGAGTATTGATAAAATAAATCGGCCGTATTCGTGAAACGAGGCACATTGTGCTGACCGAGAAATCACTTCTGCTCGGAGTCCGTTCTATTATTCGCGACAGAAATCAGAGAGACGGCGAGGACTCATTACGTAGGTGACCCGATCATCGGGTAATAAGATCCCCCGTTCGGGTCGTTCATCCGATAATCTCGATCTCGAGCAAGAACGAACGCTCCCTCTCCGCCGAGGCCGATAAATCCGATATCAAACTCTCGGAACGGTCTTTAAAAAGCTTCGGACCGCGAGAGACGAGGCTCTGGGAACTCTCGATGGCCGTTTTTTTTTGGCCCCGTCCCTCGGCCGTTCCAGTTTTCTCGGGGACACGACGATTCCCCGGAGAAGACATGTGGAAAACGTCCGTGGTTCTTTTCGAGAAATTCCATTCAATCGTGGGGAGAAGGACGACGTGCTCGATCGGCTGTGGATTCGGGGACAGTGGAGAGTACAGTTTTACGATCGTCTAATGTCCGTAACTATGTTCGTGTCCCGTATACACATGAAGGATCTCTAGCTGCTGCTCATTCGATATCAAAGCTCCCCCTCTTTATGGACGGACACGTAACCACTTTTCGTCCTTTTATTCGGAACGAAATGAAAGTGTGTCATGCTCGGATCCATCATCCGCAAGTATCGAGACTACTCGAGCATTAAAATCTGTTTAAAGATTCATGGAAAATCCTTCTACTATCCTCTCGGTGTACAATAACGAATTCAGTGCTCTCGCGATGGTAGCTTATTCACGATGGTAGAATGGTTAATAAAAGAACGACCAAGTTTCGAAGTTCGATGGGTTATCTAATTCTTTTAGTTCCTTCTTTTCTGAGAATACCGTTCGCCTGAAAGCTGCTCCGAGAACTCTTCGGGGACGATTCCTGTCCACGTCATCGTTGCCTTTTATCTCTTTATAAGACAGTGATAATCATGTTACCACACGAACTTTTAATTCTTCTATTCACCTATGGTTGTTGCTAAGTATTTTTTTTTTTCGTCCAATGGTACTTATAGTCCTTCTTTATTCAACAGCGCCTACTTTATAACCCTTTTAGATTTCTTTCTGTTTATCTATTGTTCGTATTCTGTTTACATATTGCTTATTTTCCACGGCCTGATAAAGGGTTATTCCGTTCCGAACGATTCGTGTCCGTTTGCAATCGATAACGTAAGTCCGCGAACTCGAGACGTGTTTGTCGTTCCCGGTATGCAAATCTATGAGTATCGATCGTACGCTGTTCAACGGCTCGAGGTGTGTTCCCGTGTCCGTTTCGCGACGGTAGACGGTTTCGATGGATGCCTCTTTCGGCGAAGTGTTTGGCGATCGTCGTGCAACGTTCCTCGACGATCCACAGACACGAAACCGTGCGTTCACGAACCGTATGAATCAGCGATAAAATGTTCAGAAGCTCCGCGAAAGAAATAGTCTCGACGCGTGTCCAACACGAGAGCTTACGTCCACTCCAGCAGACCGTAGGATGACTAATGTGTCTGGTTCGCGAGGTTGAAAAAGATTCCACGGGTTTACGCTGCGACGTGTCACCTTCGTCGTCCGTTGGGACCAATAGACGAATACACGCGAAGAAACGATGTATTTATGTATTTTGGCGACACGTTCACGAAGTTGCCATCGGTCATTGCGAACGAGTCTCGGCGGCTGCTCGAGATAAAACGATTTTCTTTCATCCCTTAATCCATTAAAATTGAGCGAGGACTAGCTTTTTTTCTAAGAATCGGACCTGAAGTTATATCCAAGGCAGAGACGGGCTAGACAAAGGCTTTTGAATAACGAATAAAAATAAAAGAAGTACCTCTGAATTGTTGACAATTCCAATTTTTACAATGCATACTTCTTCTTGAATTAGTAGACAATTAACACTAGAACTACCAAACCAGTCAAAATGACTGGTCAATACGCTCTTACAACGACGATTAAAATGTTATGACAATACATTTCCTCAGATCTTTTGCACCTTTTATTACGATATGAGAGTGAAGAGTCAATTCCAGTCAACTTCTAAATTTCTAAATTTTCAAAAGCTAGTGTTAATAAATAATTAATTTATTTCATTAACTGTTTAGAGGTCAAAATGACGCTTTTAGATACCGTTGCTTTTCACTGTGTCTTATTCGAATGAAATCGTGCCTAACTCTGATTCAAGGCGCGGTTGATTAAAGGAAATATCTATCTATGAAGTAGGTATCGTTGTAAAATCTGTCGGTGATATTTCTCCAGATGTCAGCTCACCGAGTCGAGCACAAATTCCCCGGTTCGCGATAGATCACACTTGTTGCCGTGTCAAGCGCCGAACGAACGCCGGATTTTCGTCCACCATGGGATTTGCCGATGGGTAGAAAGTATTCGGGACGTCAGGGGGGATTCGGTTCGATTCGTTTGGAAAGAATTACGACGAATATCTTTCTTGTGTATACCGATGCCGTCTCGCCATCGAATCGGCAGCCTCGACGATGTATTACGTATTCAGAATTGGGCACGAAAACACAAATAGGGAATGCATTGTTCCGTCGAGATAGGAACAGGGAAATGGCGAATCCGAGTGTCCACGAAATACCCACGACGAATTGGAATCGTTGATTAAAAATCGATATCGCAGGATTACGAGTGACCCGTGTCGCGTTAATTATTGCAATTATTCGATGTCGACCGACCACGTGGCTCGATAATTTCCCCAAAATGGACAGAGCTGTTTTTCTCCCTCCCTGGTGAAAGAAACGAACATCAATTCGAGGACGTTCGTTTCGTCGATTCTCTGCATTTTCTGTATAACGAACAACCGTTATTTTCCCAAAGGGTTATGGATCGGTACACCATGATAGAAAGGAACAATAGTCCCGATTGTTTCGTATAGTCGGAACCCTTTTGAGCGTGTTCCCGTGGCTATTCGATGCTCTCGATTTTCGGGAGATAAACCGAATGCGAATTCCGTCATCGAACACGAAACGCTTCGTCCACTTCCGGACAGAGCACAATTAGCGTCAGAACGAATAAAAAATGAATAAGAGCGAGAGAATGCGAGAATGGTACGTTTGAACGGGGATACACAAATAGGAATTGGGAAACAAAATGAATCTGATTCTCACGCGAGGCGGTTGTGCCACGCAACAGCAATCTGTGTGCCCCGCGGAAATCGACGGTCGCGGTTTTGCCGATTTAATTGTCCACGGCACATGTTGTCGTATCCCTTCGCGTGAATAGTACCGCGTAAAATTATCTATGTTTATCTAATCTGTCGGAATAGGGGTATTCCGATTGCTCAATAACCGTGAATATTTTGCTTGCCTACACAAGGTTTAATAATGAGAACGTGAAACTTGTTGGATTCCAATTTCCGTAAATTAGTCCCCAAAAATCTATATTTGCATAAAAATCTACGGGTAGTGTAAGTCGACGTACGTATAGAACGAACTGTGTAGCCTTTTGCGTTTCAGTATTCGTGTTAAGCAGCCTGAATGGGAACGTCGATATCTATTTCTGCGTGTGAACGTCGTTAACGTTCACAACCGTTCGCTCGTTAATAAATAAATGAATAAATGAACGCATGGAAGTTAAGCCGGACATCTATCTCTTGCGATTTCTGCGTTCTGATCCCCGGAATACGATCAATTGTGCGTGGTGTTCCGCTCGGGAAAAAAACGCTTCGTGGTGGCACACTTTTGATTCAACTGTTGCCTCGGGATGAAACGGGCTGGCTTTTAAAACGGATGTTTTGCATCCTGTCGAGGCCCGTAATCCGTAATATGCCCGTGCTGTTGCCGTTCGATTGAAAACCATTCAACGCGCTCGAGTGTTTTGCATGCGATAATCCTTGTTCGTTACACGGGCTTTAACGCTCGCTCCCCTCCGATCGTC